AACGGTATTATGCTATGGTATGCCACATTTTATGAACTATCCAGAACGGTTATAAAAAGGAAACTGCCATTTAAGACTATTTTATGATTCTACTATACATTAAATGCATCTTATTTTATATTGAGTGCATAACAGTAACGATAAATAGTGATTACATTAAATTTAAAAGTATAATAAGTTTTTTTTTTATAAAAATAAAAACGTAGTAAACAAAGCGTTTATTGTTTATATAAAATTATATTGATTAGATAGATTGGGTTCAATTTATTTAAAAGTTCTTTTTTTTACTTTTTAGCGTATTCACTAATTTTTAAATAATTATTAAATAATTTCTTGTATATTATATTCACCCATAAAAACAATGCACCAAAAATGCCATTAAATAATTGAAAATAAATTTAGGAGCTTGTAACGTAAGCGATAATATTCTTCTTTTACATTACATTAGGTATTTGTTCATCTGATTGTTGAATAAATCGTTTTAAAAATTATTTCAGGTAACGATTATAGGTTTTAAATCTATAATTTTCAACTTTAACAGTCTATAATCATTCCTAAAATTTCCATACGTGAAATATATTTGTAGTACAGTACGATCACCAGTGTGAACAGTGGTAGTAATATGATTAATTTCTGGAACACATTATACATACCACATGCGACCACGGTCCGTGACGGAAAGGACTTATTATTTGTTGTAAAAAGAGGGTGCATACATAATGAAAAGATTTTTATTTTTATCGCCTCATGATTGATTATCGTTTGTAACCATGGGATAGTTGAAATATAAATTCAATTTAGATCTCGAATAGAGATTTTACCAGATTGCAACTATATAAATTTAATAAAATAAATGCTATATTTTTACATTATATATTTTGAAGATTGCTTCTAAAATGTTGAAAGGAGAACTTATTAAATTCCTTATTATTATCGATTTAGGTAATATTATTTCCGTTTTATTGTTATTTCTGTTGAACATTATTTTAAAGTAGTTTATATTTTAAAGTTCTTTAGAGTAGTCTATGACTAGCAATTAGTTTGTTTCGTTTTACCTTGGAGGTGTCAAATCCAATTCGTAATATTGGTCTAACGTAGAATATTAACTTTTCTATTTTCGACTCCTACAATACGAATATCTAGTTCAGTTGATAACAAATAGTTGAAGCCCCATTTTGACAATAATAAATTCAATAAAAAATAAAAAAAACTGTAATGATTAACATTTTTTAATTATAAAATAAACTTTACTGATTATAATTTTTCCAGCCTCTTTCAATACATACGTATAATTACTTTTGCATTAGTATTTTATGACTTCGAAACTTTGCTAATGTTTTCTAATATGAAGTTTTAATACAATCCTCGTGCTGGTTCTAATACTATATCTAAGTGAAACAGAAACTAAATTTTAAATATCAACTAAGCTATTAATTTTGTACACCCCGTACCCAAATGGTATGTCGTGAAAAAGTTAATTGTCAAACAAAATAAATTTTAGTGCAATTACGACACTATTAGACACGTCACACGATTTTCTAACCCTCGCACGATCGGTTATGTATTCAAATGCCGCGAGGGGAACCGAGAAAAGGGGAGAAAAACTGCTGATATCATGACTGTGGCGTATGGGAATGCACCAGATATTTTAATTATATTAGACAATTTATTCGTTTGTTTAACGGGAATTTTCATTTCATTTATCATCTTGTATATAACCATTGTTCTCGATAGTTTATATATAATATTAAATTAAAAGAAATAGACAAAGAAAATATATATTTCTAAAAACAGTTTTATCCTCGACACAGCAAGGAAGAGAGCAATAGAAGCGGCCAACTATAAAGAAATATATAAAAAAAAAACACTTATTAAAGAGGCTGATTAAGCTGTCATCGACAATTGTTTATATAATATATAAGATTAAGCCCGCGACCTCGGCCGCGTATATTTATATTTATATGCGTATATGTATATTTATATCTTATTATCACATTTATATCATATCTTATCATGGTTTTATCATTGACTATATAAACTTTACTTCACTTTTTCAACCCCTTCAACTCATGTTTTGCAATGAAATATATGCTATATCCATTCCCAAGATCAACTCTATCTCTGGTCAAAAATTCATAATAATTGGACCAGTGATTTCGGTGTAATAGCGTAACAGACAGTTATTTACTTGCGCATTTATTGTAATATACATAAATATAAAGTGGATATAACTAGAAACTATCTTAAACAAATCACCACAAAATAATTCAAGCTGTTACAAGCACTTGTGATAGTCAAAATCTACGGCGAGAGACCTTGTACTGAGAAGAACGGGCAAGAAACTCAGCAACAGTTGCTTTTCCTCCATTTATTATTTTATACATTTTCATAAACTAAGTATATACTAATGTACATATATTCCTAGTCTGCATACTGTTGCGACATATTTAACAATATGCTTGAATTACATACTCAATGAGTATGATATTAAAATCTTACATATTAAGGTTATACTCAATAATTCATTATAAGGTTTCAAATATATATATTAAGGTAGAAGGCTATATTTAAACTTAAAATACTCTGCACTTAGAATAACATCTGATTACTTTTCAATTAAATAATGACAGCAAAAATAAATGGCATGTACTAAAATGCGTACTTGAATCCGAATTAAATAATTACATGTATGGAGTTACTATTAATTTACTAGACTTTCGAGCGAAAGTTTTCCAAATAGGCAATACATTCATTTCTAATAATTGTGTATTACTTATTCAATAAACTAAGACTTCAAAGGAAACGCTTCAGAAAAACACAACCGACCCTCGCATGGCAATCAAAGAAACCACTGGGGTTACGACACGGCATCTCGGGTCAGTTGACGATATTATCACAATCTGTAACTGTGGGGACAACGAGAAAGGCCGGCCGTATCCGGTGGTCACTACAATGTTCGTAACAGAGGCCATAGTAACGCAGCCTTGCATGAAACGATGACGTAATGAGCTAAGAGATTACTGACAAAGACACGAACTTGTATCAAGATTTATTTGAGGCGAGTGCACTGTAAACTGTTATCGTATTTATAGATTAAATGTTATTTGTTGTACCTATTATTTTTAATTGTAATGGTTAACTCAAAAACGAATGAATTCTTTCATCAATATAAAGCTACGTTACCAATTAGTAAAGCATATTTACAATCGTAAACCACAAATTGGAGTTAGATGAAGCTTTAAAATTGCACGACTTAGTCGACAATCTAGTACTGAGCATTATTTTTCTTTTTTTTTGTAATAAACAATATAAAGTTATGATCGTCGGACAACGATTACGCTTTTGGGCATAGATGATTTAGATGCAAAGAATGCATCGTTAAGGGAGTACCGTCACCATGGTAACGGGAGGGTACCGACGCCCTTGCGTCTAGTTCATGGACACTTATCGTTATCGTAATAAATTGGTCTGGAATTCGAGCAATAACTTCAAGGGGAATCGGAACAAAGCGGGAAGAGATTTCTGCACCACTATGAGCTTTTATTTTTTGTTTGTTCTATTGCCATAGACTTATTTGATAAGAATTTAATGTCACTTTGTATTACAACTGCGAAAAAATTTATTCGGATCTGCGGGTCCTAAGCAAATGTGTAATTTAAGCAGTTACAAATAAAAACAGAAATTATTATTAAAGTTTGGAAATCAATTTCTTTATATTGCCAAATGTTCATATTGAGTTAAATCCTCATATTCACCAATAGCAAATCAGTCAGCTGCAGTGTTTTAGTAATATCTTTGGATACCGTGCAATTAACAATAGATTAACTATAAACTAAGAAGGGTCTAAAATTAATCCAAATTATATTTTGTTTTTTAATTAAAATAACTAAATACAACTTAATGTACTCGTAATAACTGTGAACACGCTAAATCTTATTTTAATTATCAAATACGTCGTCGTCTCTTATTTAAATGATACAATGCTTCTTATTTTATTACTGTCTCTCATTGAGATAACCTCAATAAAAGGGTACCTCACAAATGCAAAGATAAATTGTAACCTCTCTTTAACATTCATAAAGCTATACTAGTCATTAAATAATAAATCACGATGTTAAGGCTCGTTTATGTTGATGAGTCTTAAGTAGATATAGCCCGAGGCTTTGCACTTTTGGAATTTGATATATGGAGATCCTTAAGGATCATATTACCTAAATACTTATAGAGGTTAATAATACGAAGTAGCTCTTGTGGAATAAAGAAATCAATAAATACATCAATTAGTTAATATTTTAAAGAATACTAAGGAAATATTTTTAAAATTACGGTTATAAAGTATACCTTATTAGTGATCTTAACTATACAATTAATAAATAAATTGATAGATATACAGAGAGTTAGATATACAAAAGCTATTATAGTCGTACTATGAGTGGAATTAAATATTCACACTAACAATTTTTTTCGGAAATTATGTTTATGAATAAAAACCTACCAATTAACTTGATTATCCTCATCGCTCTCTTTACGCCGCTTACAAATTGTAAATGGATTAATAAGTACAATGTCTCCTTCATCTATATTACTTAATTTACCTCACCTTTCATACTATGAAATTGTGCCCTCTATATACCAAATAACCCGGTGAGAAATCTAATATATATTACTGTCAATCGTTCTATCGCCATGCCACGATATACACATAATGTAAACACGATGTGAAGTCCCGTCGCCCGATTTATTACCCGGCGACTGATTATGATATATCGACGTCGGCTGCTGTGTTGATCGCCACTTACCCTACCCTTATCACAGAGCATGTAATTTTGGATTCATTGCCCTCGGCTTCAACGCGATGGGGACCTTTGATAAAAGTAAAGTATTTGATACTCTGCAAATATCTAGCAAGCAGTAAGCTATTAATAATGGCTTGCTTAACTTTGAATCGGGAAATTTGTTCCTTTGGCGCTGATAATAATAGTATACTTTTCTTTTTATAGGTACCAGTTGGACATGAGAGGATGAATCATGGAATCACGCAGCGCGCCGCCAAGCCCCGACGAGCCGGGGGAGGCGGTGTTCGACTCTCGGTGTGGGCACTACTCCGTGTCCGCTCTGCAGAGAACATTCGCGAGCTGTCGCGAAACCAATCGACCGCGACCACACCATCGCCATGCAGCCTCAGAACCTGCACGACCCGACGACCGGGTATTAACAACGGCAGAGGTCCACGACTATCCATCGTCAGAGTCTGGAATTGCCGCCGATTGCCCACATCCAAACACCAGCAACGCTGATGATAGCCCCTCATACGATCGCTCCGATTATGAAGGGCACTCAAGTTACAGCCTCCGGCAAACACCCGATTACCACCACACATTAGACTGTAAGCATAGACCTATAGATTATAATAGGAGCCATACACCGGATTTCAATCATAGTCGAGTATCAGATTGCGATCATATCAATCCTCGTTCTCAAACTTCTAGAAGAGTTCATAGAAAACATAGGCGAGAAGAAGATGACGGTGCACAGTCTCTTGATGAGCGGTGTGCTCGAGACCTCGATGAAATTTTACCTGCACGATTAGCAGCTGTAAACTTATCTAGGGAACAACCACCTCAAACGTGGAATAGAAGTAACATCGCTGCAACCATGGAACGTTTTGAACCGGTGGATTATTCATATGCATATTATGACCATCATTTATCGATGCCTTCATCCTCACGAAAAGCACATCGCCAACGAGGAAGAGGTGGAATACCAAAAGATCGATCTGCTCGTCATAATTATGTTACGAGATACGGTACAGAAGAAAATATTTATGAGGAGATTACTGATGGTACTAGGACTTGTCCAAAACACCGATATGTTCCACGGCAATCTCTTGTTTCCCTTGACAGAACTGTCGTCGAAGAGGAAGTACGTCGCGTAGAATCTAGGCATAAACGAATATTAGGAGAGTTAAATCTTAGTGTAGAAGCAATGTTGATGCCAGAATGTGAATCACCTGATTCAGAGCGAGCTGAAGATAGAGACAATATAGAAGAGTTATTACGAGTAGGCCCTACTGATGAATTATTATCACCAGCTAGCTGTAATCCTCCGGATTTGGACAGTGGTTTCAGTGGAAGTAGTAGCGGAGCAAGTTATGTAGGCAGTCTTCGAAGAAAACCTACGGGATCCGTGCCCCATTTACCAGCTGTTGCATATGGTACCAGAGGAGCGGGTGTACGTATACTCGGTGCTGAAGAATGTGGCATACGCTGTCCAAAAGATGCCACCTCACCAAGAAGCTCTAGTTGTGGAGATGCCAAGAATAGCGGATTTTGGAATAAAAGAGCTTGGAAAAAAATATCTGGCTTCTCCAGCTCGAACAGCATCAATAAAGCTGGTCTTACTGGTAAGATTATTATTTTCTACTAGTTAGGTCACGTTTCGTTCTTAGTATGTATAGATAGAATATTTAGCGTTTTATACGCTATAAAACTTAATATAAGTTTGTTTCACGTGAGGCTGAATCGTTATCTAAACTTTACAAATAGTACTCAAACAGTCATAAATATTATGTTAACAGAACATAATAGTACATATCGCTTTAGTCAAATGCACTAAATTTATACATCCAATTCTATAAACGCGAGTAAATCAGTATCAAGTCGTGAAAACCCTAAGAGTATTATCCCTTTTTTATTTTCGCCCGCTTTCGTCTGCCAATGGGCGTTTTCAGATGGACGCGCGCGCGTTGCTCTCCGTTTCGTTATTTTCTTTTTAGTTTGTTTTGTTAACGGTGCGGCGTTTTGCATTGCAGGTCTGCTCGTTAGGTACACTTTCCGGCGTAAGTCCGGCTCGCAGGGCTCTCAGGGCAAGCGGCGGGCAGAGCCTGTCAAATGCGATGCGTGCCTCTCACAACGATGTTAGCCTCACTATGGTAAGGGCCCACAAGCAAAAAATTAATATTTTGCTGATAGAAAGTTATCTAAATTCAGATTATCTGAATCAGTAAATCACTCCCGACTTTCTATCAGTAATCACGTTCATTATTTTTATTTTATTTTTTTTCCTCAGTACGGAAACACTATTGGCTATTAGCGCGTCCATAAAAATTAATTGATACTGCCTCTTGGAGGGTTTCTTTCGTCCCACTTTTTATTTATTTAGGTGTTTTGTTAAAAATATAATTACAATAAATAACTTCAACAAAATACGACATTCTAAAGATATTGTTAATAAGGGGAAAATCGAAACAAGTAGGGAAGTCGATAACAAGCTACCGGGACGCGGTCGGGTCAGAAGCGATTAAGAAAGTTGATATAAAGTTCCCTCATTAAGGTATTGCAGATATTACTTCTGCAAACTTCGGCTTGAGATAAGTATTGTTCCACAAGAACCAAGACAATAGCATGCGCTACCACTTAATTAAGCCTCTTCGATACGATATAAGCGGAACTTTCCGATTAGTCTGCCAAGACAAACAGACTATCTTTTGTTTTGGAAAGTATTCTGATAACTCGATACTTAAGTTAAAATATCTTGGTTGCAGATGAAGCCTGTAGGCCAAGCAGGACTAAATCCAGAACGTCTACTATACCATACAGGTTAATATAATGTACTTTTACATGAACGTCTACGTTACATTCAATTAGATAATTAAAATTCCCACCCAGTATTTAGCTTAATAGTTTCATAATTACTATTGAAACTGTCGATGTTATTTCTAATAATTGTACGTTTCCCTTGTTGCAGCTACTCCAACGGAAAACTGGTGGTGCCGGTGGATTCCCTAACACAGAGCTGAGGGGTCGAGCCCCCTCTCCATCCCCGTTTCCAACTCCTCCGAGGGACTCCTAAACACAAAAGGACAAAGATAAATAGAAACACTTTTGATCGTGCGAATTAAAACTACACGACGCCATTTTTAAACATTCCATGATTCTAAAGAGACATTTTATCAACACCTCAATGCGTCTCAAAGACGAGGGTGATACCATTGTAGATAGAAAAGGACAGGAATATTAACGATACGAAACGAGGAGGTATACGGCGAAGTGATAGTAAAGCCTATTAATTAATTATTTGTATTGTTATGACAATCGTTTCATAGAAACGTAATAACTGCGTTGTTGTTACTTATCAATTTTTAGTAGATCATAGGTACATGAAAAGGCTGACAGTTGAATCAGATTTTGTACGTGTTTAAGTAAATATGCCATTTTTAGCTATTTAATGTCCGTTTTCAATCTAATATTTTGATGTTTCAATATTTAATTACTTAGTATGCAACGTGTAAAATATAAGTATAGAGACACTTAATTTTTTTTTTCACATAATGTAACGTGTTTGTCGTATTTCTCTTTTGATGAAAATAGCTATCGATCTATAAAAACATCCAATGCTGGAAGTAATGTTGTACGAATAAAATTATACACAATATTTCTTAGAAATCCAAAGTTAATTCTGAAAATTATCTCCCCAAATTAAATACACACGATATCTATATAAATGGTCCAACCTCATTATTTTAATATTATGTAATTAGTAATCATGTAAAAATTGTTTTATAAATTGCAAAGAAGATGTTATTTGAGATAGCGTGATTGTTAATATTTTATAGCGGATAAGTGTATATTATGTAAATATTTATCAATGAAAAAACATGGTGCACTCTTTGTGTTATTATTTATGTACATAGATGATTGTATAGTCACATTCAATTGCTTTAGATAGTAATTACCAACGTACTGAACTTTAATATTTGTAATCGAAAAATGAAGCAAAATTATAATGAATCTATGCTAAAGATTCATAAACATGTATATTCTTTAAGAAGAAATATAAATAGAAAGTTACGCTAAAAGCTTCTCAAAGTTAACACACGTTTTCAACATTCTTCAAGATTTTATACTTTGGGATATATTTTAAAATATTAGATATTTCGGTTTCCATGTTTTCTAACCAGACCAATGGCTACTAAGCCACATTTACTTTACGAAGAAAATATTCACAAATATCGTACGATCTCTTTCTATCATTTTGATAAAAGTATAACCAGTGGTTTATATATTTAAAAACATATTACATTTTTAATAAGGTTTAAAGCACCGTGAAGTAGCTCTCTAAATTTAGTAACGTGGCTTTTTAAAAATTCTAATATTTATGTTAACCGATAATATTTATTGAATATACATGTTGATGGTAAAAAAAATGTCCAAAAATTACATTTAAGGCAATTTTAATTTATCAGCTAAACCTTCGAACTAAATATTATGTAAATATACTATAAATTTATTCAGAATCAATTTCAATGTTTGTTTTATATAAATTATAGTTTGATGCTATTCTGACTGATTTTAAAAGATGATTAAACTCAATGTCACATCAAAAATTTCTTTAACTGTCTGTAATTTAGTGATCGTGTTCAAGTCAAAAGAGATTTTTATTAATAAATCTTAAAAAACGTAATATGTAATTTTTATTTCGCATTGACTTAGTATGAAAATAATAAAATATAATAATTAGAACACATTTTCATCTTAAAGGAAAATTTAAAATAGTTTTAAAATATATTTTTTGGCTATTTTTCTGAACATTGAAGAAAGACGCAATTGTAGCGAAAAATAACAAGATTGATTGATGCTTGAAAAATTCATTCATCCTGTTGTGTTTCGGGTAGATCGATTAGATCAGTCGACTCGATATCGAAAGGTTGTGGGTTCGAGTCCCACCTAAGGATACCTGGAGCTTGTAGATTTTTCAAGCATTTTTAACTATAGATATTTTATCAGTGCAACATTGTAAATGGAAAACTGATAAAATATACCTAATCACCATAGAATATTAATTGATATGAAAAAAGGAAAGACAATTATTGTTCTCAAGAGGTCTTCGCAAAAATAATAACGGATACGACATATGTGAAGGAGCACTACTATGTCCAATTAGTGATTCCCTGATATCATCTTATAAATATCAATCACATAATATTTTCCGTGAAAATAATATTCTGATAGATCTTGTAACATAATTCACGTAAATTTCATCGCACTTATTAGAAATAAGTCACAAAACATAATACCAAACAATTAACAAGTACGATTGACATAAGTTCTTGGAAAAAAAAATGACATATCGCTTCCCCTCCGAGTATATGCTGAATAGATATTGCCGTAATCGAAAATAACATAACACATAACTTCCTTAAGAAATATTGTGGAAGGACTTAATTTTGTATGGATATGACAAAAATGGTACATTCTTCTTAAGGATGGCCTGAGCCCTTGCAATGTTTAAGTCCCTTAAAAGGGACTTAAACATCCCTTTACACTATCGTCATAGTGTAAATAACATCAAAAACTGCATTCATTCATAAAAAAATATATATTTGTGCGGAAATCGAACCCGGACATTTACATTATTTCTACTTAGATACCGATTATTAGGTCTTAAGCAGTTTTGTGTAATTATTGAGTTTCCGATATTTTCTGTGTCGAGAACAAGTGGGAGATAGTGGGACATAGTTAACAGTGGTACGGGTATCAAATGAACAAAAGATTAGACAGAAGATAGATATATCTGCACATGACACGCAAAAATTTGATCTACCTACCCCATGGTTATGGTGTAGCTAAATAACAACAAAGTACATGGTAACAATCCCGTAAACAACTATAATTTCAATGTAAATGACCGTGAAAGCTCAAAACAACATGTTTTGACCTTTACGATCATTTACACTTTTAACAATATTATTTAATATAATTAATTAATTCTCCAATAAAAAAAACAGAGAATATAATAGCTGCCGATATTTTAAAAACACACTGGACGTATACCTGATAAAGTAAACAGTACTGATATTGGATACTGGCATATCTAATACAACTGACTGCCTGATTTACAATAACCATAATAATAAATAAATACGAGTACCTGGATAATTTAAGCATTTTTTACTATTTTTCAATATCTCATTTGGACGCCAAATGGATCAAATGTAATAATTAGAAAAAAATTCAATCTTTATTGAAAGTTGAAATATTTGTAAAAATATTTCTTTCGGTTGTTTGGGTAGATTGCGTGAACATTGGTGAAAATACGCTATGTAGTAGCGAAAAAGTAACTTGATAGATTCGTCAGTCCTGTTAGATCCTGGGTAGCTCAGTGGCAGCAGGAGCTCGGATTTCGAAGTCATGAGTTCGAGTTCCATCTCAGAGTGCCAGGGACAGAGTGGATTTTTTAAGAATTTTTCAGTAAGAATATTTGTGAATCCAAAAATTGATCAAGTAGAATATACAAATACGATAAATAATTATTTGTTATTTTTTATGATTTTTGGCAATATTTATTAAAATTCTCCAGTAGTTAAGTAAATATTGATAAATAAAATATGTTTACATTTCCCTTTGTATCCCTCCTGATAGCCTGCAATTGGAATTTCCTTTAGTTTTACGAATATTCTCGATTCATTTTTGAAATTTCAAACATTAGAACGCTTGTTGCGTGGCCTCGATAGCAATATACGCAAGCGGCGGAAACTTAGGTATCACGAGCCGCCGATTCAACTCATCGAATACAATACATCGAACTCCGGAACCGTTCACTTTTGTTTAGCTGACATCGCGCAATTATTAATTCATTTAATTATAAGAATTAAATTGTAAAATCGCTTTTCCTAAATAAGTAAGATTTTTTTTTGAGTCCTCTGCTTAAAAGTAGTTCTGATGATTGATTCGATATCGATTTCCAAACCAAAATTATGTGAGTTAACGTTCAAATTTTACTCGTTTTACCAATTACCATAAATGTCAGATCCCTCTTTAGTATTTGTTTTGTTCTGAATAAAAAATATTTAAAAAATCAACATGAAATAACACAAAGAAAAACACCAGCCAAATTTACCCTTACATCGTTCAAACCCAGCTGTGAGACTTCCTTAAAAAATGGAACTTAAATTAAAAAATGGAACTGCAGCTTCTTTTATATCCAAAAGCTTTCACCTCATGCTTTAAACAATTGACCTAAAATTCATCACAATACACATAAGATGGGTATAAAATTTCGCTCAATCCGACCACTAAAGAGGGGACAGGAATCGGGTCTTTTGTTACCTCTCCAAAGGGTTAATTGTTTAATTGCTAATAAAATAAAAACAGCATTCGTTGTTGAGAGAATGCGCCCTCGAGTACAGCTGCTATTGGTTAAAAGGGTCTTGAAACTCGTACACAAAATTTTCGCCGTCATAACTCAAAACCTAAACAGTGATCCGTTGTTTTCATTAGAAGCTAATATAATAGCAAATTTATTACAAACTAATTAATGAACCTTTATCTTCCTACCTTCGCAAACAAAAACGAAGTTTCTACGCCTACAATTTTCTCGAGTGTTGATGTCATGTAAATCTTAAATTTAATATTGTATCAAATTTGTGTGCCTGAAATGGATTTAATGATTAAACACGACTGTTTCCTTGGCACGATAAATTAGAAAAAATGCTTTAAAATTAAAAAGTAGCAGTTCCTGTTCAGATTCTTAAGTTCAGAGCAGAATACTCATTAAGGATTCTTTGATACAAGCGGATGAAACAAATTAGCATGCGCAGTGGAGGTCCGTACCTGCCTGTAACGTAGACGACCCGTCTTGGTTATCTGATATTCTTCTACTGCCTGGCTAGTCTCGAGGATTAGTCAAAACATAGTGGCATACCCAGTAAATCTTGCCTTAAAATGACCCGGGTGACGAGCAAGAAATGCTCGGGGGTACCTTTTGAACACTTAGCGAACTCTCGACTATAAAATTGACCGCTCAAGACAGTGGCCAAAAACCTAAGGTAGGTACGCCCAGGTAAGTTGGTATTATACATGCCTTTAAGCAATAAGGTACTTCTACAATTACTTTTTAATCCCATTTGCCAGATTGCCGAGATTAAAAATCCCCACGCACAATGGTTTTGTGGGTATCTATTTTCACACTTTAATACTGCCATGAACCTATAATCTAGTTGTAGTGTAACTTCTCACAACTAACGTTATTATTAAACAAAAAAGTGAATTTATTGGACATTCACTTCTCACAAAGGACAAAATAAAAGGGGCAATCGAATCGGAACGTTCTCTTATTAATCTGTTATTTCGTTTCGTGTTTCCTGGTTTGTGTCCTCAATTAATATCAATATAGCGAGCCGAGATTGAGCATTCCGAGCATTCAAAAGGCCACAACGTTGACACAGATATCGTTTCAAGTTAATGCGGCCAAATTAAATACGACCTACTGTTGATTTGCGTCAATATTAATTATCGTGCTAATCAACAAAGCTGCGTTGTATTGGGTACTAATGGATTATTGGATTTTCTGGGTTTGCCTGTTGTCATGTGGGTTTTATAAATGCCAATCGGATCGTTTCTACTTTATCATAATTTATTACTATTAGTCGTCTACTTTATCATAATTTATTACTATTTATCATAATGATCGTCGTGTTTATAAATGCCCATTTGGATTCCGATACAATAATTTGATCATCGAATGGTTCTAGTATCTATACTTTGCTAGATTCCACAATCGTATTTAAAGTATCGATAACTTAAGGTAAGACAAATAAGTGTTGTTACGCTTAGAGGCCTAAACAACTGAGCCCATCTTAATAAAAATTAGTTTAGAAATAGGCTTAACCTTGAGAAAGGACATATTAATTGTAAAAAAGAGGTGGAAATTGGGGATCAAAGATTGCATGGAATTTTAAAAAAATCAAAAATTGTTTTTTTGTTATTTGATAACAGTAGTATTCTAAAAGAAAAATAATGCTCAAAGAAACTATACCACGTGTATAAAATTCTACCTATATATAATACAGTTAATTGATCTTACAATGGTTATAGTTAAATTATGAAATTAAAAACTTACAATAGGATGGCTGATTAAAATGCTATCGTAAAGTTCATTTAGCATATTAATTATCCGCTTACACAGCACTAATTTCGATTTGTTTACAAAATGGCACCAACAATTGGTCTATCTCTGTAATCGCTTGCTTTCGTCTTGCCTCGTTTACTATGTTTTATGTAAAATGATCCTGTCAGGTCATTATTTAAGTACCTTTCACTCATAAGGGGATGAACCTAATATTTGTTCTGTCTTCTACGTCTTCGCACGTAGAGTAACAAAGCAAGCAGTTACTAACCTTTCAAAAGTCTCATTGTACCTAGCGTAAGTGAGGTGTAGCTTCAAAGAGAGCTGCCCTGAACTGCGCCGCTCCGATTAGGAAATAAACGGACAAGTGCACAAGCTACTCATCCGGGTTTTTCATGTCATTATGGACCGGAAAAAATCGGACCGCCGGACCTGAAAATTCAGTGTAGTACTCAAGCGCCCTAAAGCTTGAAGATACAAATATAGCCACTATTTATAACATAATTATAGGGTTAAAAATGAAAAAATCACCTACATAGGATTATTCTGTTAATTT